GTTAGACCTCGCTGTTTGCTTGTTAGCCTAACGCTGTTGACATTTCCTTGCCGCAGACCGAATGGGGACTTGCCGTCCCTGACTCAGCCCCTGTCTATGCTGCTGGCACAGAGCAGGCACCGTACGTGGCTGCCCTGTTTGCCAGTGGGCGAGTGAAACCCAAGGGGACCACTTCCAGTTGTGTGCACATCCCCGACACCCGGCCTCTGAGCTGTCCCCGTGTAGGGCTCCCCTACACTTGCAGTGAAGTCTGAGTGGCACCAAGGTCTGTTAATGAGCGTGGTGGGGGATGAGGGGGCGCCCACTTCGCTGTATAGTGGGGATGGTGTGCAATAGGATGGGGAGCACTGAGCTGCATAGGTTGCTTTATTTGCTCTTCATTCAAGGGCTTCTGCCTGGTGCCTTTCATCCCTGAAAACTGTCCCTCTTGTGCTGCACCGGAGGGAAGTAACAGCACCTTCCTGAGCTTGTGCCTTAGCTTGGTGACTAGGACGGGGCATGGGAAACAGCCCATCGAACCCGGTCTCCTTGAGTCTCCCAATGCACCCTGTCAGCTCAGCCAAGCTCAGGGAGACGGTTCTGCTCCGTTCTTTGCACACGATCTTCCCCATGCGCTCACAGCATCCCTCCTTGCCAGGCTGGGAAGCAATATGGTCAGCGCATGTCTGCTCCTCTTGCAGTCCCCGGGTTTCTCCTTCTGCCGCTCGCAGCGCAGAGCTAGATGGATGCCTGGTATGGCCCGGTGGGGAGTTCCTGTGATCTCTGTTCCCTGTTTCATCTCACTGTATTCCTTTCTCCCCCTGTCCCTCGTGTGTTCCTGAGCTCTCTTCCCTTTACCGCAGTTCCTCTGGCTGCCCAGACAGCCTGTCAAGCTCAGCTGCGTTCGTGCCTGTATGACACACAAGTCTGAGCGAGCCTGACTAATAGGCTGAGGCATCTGCTGCACACGCCGAACACCTCCTGTCGCACCTCCAAAAGATCCAGGGCAGAGGCGCAGCCCTGACCGTCGCTGCCTGGGGGCTCCTCAGCCCCTTTGCTTCCTCCAGAAACCCCCCACATACATCCCTGCTTTGCCAGGGTGAAAGCAGAGGAGATGGGTCCCATTTAACAAGCGGGGAGGAGAAAGGGAGCTAAACCTCAGGGAGAAGAGAGCTTGTGACGGTCTCCATGGAGCAGAGGTATAAGGGCACGTGTGGGCAGGCTGGTACCGGGAAGAGGGTTGTTTTTTCAGTCAGGCCATTGACCTGGCATTCAGGAACACGAGGGTCAGTTCTCAGACCTGCCTCGGGGACTGTGGGAAAGTCACACTCTCTCTCTGCATCTCATTACCCCCCTCAGTAAGATGGAACGGGATCCTCCCCTTGCCTATTTAGAGGGTAGGCAGGTCTAGGCCTGAGCTATCTCTTACTGTGCATCTGCCCCACCCTTAGCAAAATGGGCTCCCGATCTCTGTCTAGGTGCTAACAGAATACAAACACGCTGATGGGTACTGGATTGAAATGCTTTGCTGCGGGCCAGAGAGCGAGACTACCTCAGCACTTTCCAATCACATTACACTATATAAATACACTCCATTCAATTAGCCCAATGCCCCTCCAAGGATTTGTGTGCATATTAGCAGCTGTCGGAGTCAGGACTGCGTTACATCTAGCCCGGCAGTTCCATCATTTGTACGTTGCTGCAACGTGGCCCTGGAAGCTAGAGACAAGCATCTTCAGATTTACGAGTTGTTTTAAATCTGCTTTGCATATTTGTACACGGCACCAAATTCCCCTATGGAACCAATTAGGTTTCTACAATGAACCACAGGAACCTCTGTGCAGCAGCAGAATGAAACCCCCCTGGCCAATGCTCATAGTCAAAGCTGAGGCACGGGCAATGCAGCCTGAGCGCATGACTGGGGGCCAAAGACCCCTGTTCTCTCTTCTTAGCCCTGGCATTGCCTTTCTGTGTGACTTTTGGTGAACTTGGCCTCTCTGCGCCTCACCTTCCCAGTCTGTAAAATGGGTCTAGTCATACGAACCTGCCTCCTGAGAGGTGTCAAGTGGGTCTGTGGGAATTGTAGGGGTTTGGCACCAGCCGGTTTCTGCTCCCACCGAACCCAACGCTAGCTTCTTTTGAAAATTGACCTTTGCTGTTTATGCAGAACTGTGCAACTAGAAATCATAATGGCACTGCTGAGGATAATGTTGTCATCGCTGAGTCTGCTCCTTACCCGTGTCGCTGATTATTTGACCTCCATCTCATCATGTATGAACAGCTCCCAAACAGTCTGTTCCCAGCTTCTCTGTAAGGCAGAAAAACTTATAACCCAGAGATGAAGCGACTTGCCCAAGGTCATGCAGGAAGACTGCAGCGCAGCAGAGGACTGAACCCAGCTCTCCTCCATCACAGACCCGTATCTTAAATACTACCAGACCATCCAGCTTTGTTAGCCGTCTACCCGCTCCTGTCTTCCTCATCTCAGCAGTCCGCCAATTTGCTACTGAATCATTGCTGTCTGGCTCAGCTACAAAATGAAGCATTGCAGTGATGCATCCACCGTGCCTATTTCCAAAGGGGCAATCAGTCCTCTTTGCCAAGGCTGGGATGGCACCCGGGCTTCTTGACAGAACCGTAGCTTCGTAAGTTAATTACCACCCAGTCACGTGTCTTCATCCTCATGAATCTGAGTGGTGCTGCAGGATTCACTGCAGTCACTTGGTGGCACTGCAGATAAAATATCCTTAAAAATTAAAGTGAAATCATGGTTCAAAGACACTATGGGGCTTGTGTGGTAGAGAAACCAAGAAAACAACCCCCGCCCTGGCTCTCTGTCATTGACAACCTCACCTCTGGGTATATTTTCCCCTTTCTCTCTCTGTTTTTCTGTCCATTATATTTTCCTTTGCTGGAGATATTACCTTGTGCTATTTGTGGCTTCGAGACCTTTGCGTATCTTCCTTCTCGCTAGCTATTTAATAAATGAAATTACTGCAAACTCATTTTGACACATGAGGAGCCTGGGGCATTGGGAGCCCGATGGAACAGCAATTGGTTTAGGGTGGGTGTAGTTGGCTTAGGACATCATTTGTCACGCAGAGATCTAATGATGAAAAACCACAGATCCTGTTAGGGGCTATTAGCCTGATGCTTCAAGGGAGAAACCAAGCGGGAGCTGCCTGGATTTGGGGCTAAACTTTCTGTTTGGGCAGCTTCGCCTTTAATTATGCATCATGTGAGTTATCCACCTTCCAAAAACACATCCACCGCGGCCACTAATGGAGACGGATCATCAGACGTGACTCCTACCTTGCCTTTCCTATTGCATCTGTTAGCTGATTACCTTCCCTTCTTTTCTTTTCTTTGCTGCATCAGGGCCGTGGCGGATCTTCTGTTCTCTGCTATGATGGATGGTTCTTTGTAAGAGCAAAGCAGAATAGAAAAACAATCAAGCAAAGCTGCATTGAGTTTACCATTGACCCCGCTCCATCAGACCTCTCTGGAGCAAAGTTGTTTCATGGGAGTGGGAGGAAGAGGCAAGATAGGGGGAGGCAGTAATTAGAGGTGTTTAATTAGAATTTGAAAGGCAGATCTGCAGTGGGAGTAAGCTGGAACTGCATTGCGGTCAGTGCAGGCGCTACATCAATCTCTCAGCTGAAGTTCTGGCCCAACTTATTCTGTGGGTTGCCTTCGAATCCACTGCTCCAGGCGATGCTATCTCAGTATGTCTTTACCAGATGAGTTCAACTCTGGACTCAAAAGCACCTTTCCTTGCTTGCCAGGTCACCTGCTATGTAAAATCATACTGGGTTCACTCCATCCAAATCCAAGCCTCTCCCCAAATCCAGCCCTGGTTTGGAGCTCGGCTGCACTTTCCAGAGGCTCCTGCTAATCCCAAATGAAGCCAAGTTTGTGATCCCCTGGCATCCACGTGAATACCTGTGAGGCCACGTTCCACCCCCTGCCCCTCCCAAACTTCCCTTATTGTCCATGTTCCTTTATTAGGGATGTCTAAGGGGAACGGTGCCTTTTCCTCCCGTGTTCCAGCATGGAGGAAAAGACCCCAGGGAAATGCATCAAAGCAAAACGCCATCATGTGAAATGGGCCCCTGGTGAGTGGAACAGATTAACAAGCACATGAGCCAACTGCAAAATGTGCGATTCCCATCCCCTGCTGTGTGGAGCACAAACACGACGGCTCGATCCGTGGAGGGACCGAGCCTGCTCCACTGCTGACGGAGGGGGCGTTTTGCATCTCATAGAGCTGTTCGCGCTCTCTCTGATGAAAAAGAAACTTGGCGCAGTTTATCAGACGCAGCCTCTTTGGGAAAGCGAGTGGGTTGTTAGGTACCGTGCGGTGATGAGAGGGTGACATGGGGACCACAGGCAACTCCCAGGTTGGGCAGACACCCCTCATACTGCACGCTCATCTCTTCTGGGCATCTTGCCTCTGTCACACGAGGTGGGAGAGCGATGGGGAAGCTTAGGAAAACAGGTGCTCATGTGTGCGAGTGGCTATCTCGGCTTCACGAGGAGAGCTATTCAGGACCACCCCATGTTGTGTTATCTGTCTCTGTCTGTATGCTGTAGTCCTCAACTTTATTTCCCCCTTCTACTTCTCTTTCTCCTCACCTTACTGCCCTCACCCATGATGGGGACACATATTTATCCATGTAGAAACACATCTCTAGGTGGGCAAGAGGGAACCCTAATACAAGGAAGCAGGAAAGCGGTGCTGGCCCACAATGAGTGGGTTACTAGCTCTCTCGTGGATTCCCTGTAAGGGGAAAGCATGGGGGTCTTGTGGTTAAAGCACTAGTCTAGGGCCTCAGCAGATTTGGGTTCAAGTTCTGTGTAGCTTTGGACAATGCCCCAATCTCTCTATCTCATCTGCAAATGGGGTTATTCATCCTTCCTGGCCTCGTGTTGAGGATAAGTTTATTGATGTCACAGCGCTGGGGGATGGTTATGATCTATACGGGCCTGTTTTTGAAGCTGTTCTTCCTGTTCCCCCTCAGGTGAATACCTGGACCATGAAGGTGGCCTTCAGATTGCTTCTCCCGCTCATCCTCTTGCTGATCTTTGAGGTGAACGGGCAGCGGAAGAAGCCTCCACGGAAGCCTACTCGCCGGCCACCCGAGCCAGTTGAGCCCACAGAGTTGCCTCCGCCCCTGCCACCGGGCCCCCCCTCCGTCTTCCCAGACTGCCCCAGAGAATGTTTCTGCCCCCCAGATTTCCCCTCCGCCCTTTACTGTGATAGCCGCAACCTGAGGAAGGTGCCCATCATCCCCTCCCGGATCCACTATCTCTACCTGCAGAACAACTTCATCGAGGACCTCCCGGAAGAGTCCTTTAAGAATGCCACAGAACTGAAGTGGGTCAACCTGGACAACAACCGCATCAAGAAGGTGGACAAGCGGGTCTTGGAGAAACTGGACAATCTGGTCTTCCTTTACATGGAGAAGAACAAGCTCCGGGAGGTGCCTAACTTCCTGCCCCCCAACCTGGAGCAGCTGCGCCTGAGCAGGAACCACATCTCCAAGATCCCCTCCGGGGTCTTCAACAAGCTGCAGAACCTGGTGCTTCTTGACCTCCACAAGAATGAACTGGACGACATGGACTTCAACAAGAACACGTTCAAGGGCCTGAAGAACCTCATGCAGCTCAACCTTGCCCATAACACCCTGCGGAAGTTGCCCCCTGGGGTGCCCAGTGCCATCCACCAGCTCTTCCTAGACAGGAACTTCATTGAGGACATCCCCAGCGAGTATTTCAAGAGCTTCCCCAACCTGGCTTTCCTCAGGCTCAACTACAACAAGATTACTGACAAAGGGCTGCATAAGAATTGCTTCAACCTCACCAACCTCCTGGTGCTGCACCTGGCGTACAACAACCTCACGAGTGTCCCCTTCATCAGCTCCAAACTGGAGCACCTCTACCTAAATAACAACTCTATTGAAAGTGAGTGGGGCTGGCAAACCTTTGGGAGGTTCTGGTTGGGTGTAGAGGAGGGAGATGTACCTGGGGACTGTTTAGAGACGGCTTCTTTCAGTGTGAATGCCGCCCTTAGGGCAGTGACTCTTCTTAATGGGTAGTTGAACGACCTACACCTAGGACAGTGGGGGCCAAACTTTTTGGCAAGCATGTCACAGATTAGGCCTGTACTCTCCAAATACTACTCCAATCTCCTTTCCCTGCCTGATTTGCTGCTCTGCTTTTTGCTTCCCATCCTATCTGCTGCTGGGCTGCCTGTCCGCTCCCCTGTCTGCCATATGCCACACACAGGCTGCCAGTGCCACTTGTAGCCCCTGTGTCACAGGTTGGTTGCCCCTGACCTAGGGGATAGATGGTCCAGCATTTAGGGCCCTAACCATGGGGGTTATGAGATCAGATTTCAGTTCCTTGCTGCATCTCAAATTTTCCCATGTGACCCTGGGCAACTAAGTCTTATCCATCTGCCAAATGGGAAGAATACTTCCTTACCCCCCAGAGGCACCCAGATAAATGATGTACAAGTTGCAAGGTGCTCAGATGGTACAAGTGGGTGGTAGGCATGCAAGTGGTAGGTAGAAACAATCCAGCATACCCTTCTGTAGCAGAGCCTCCCAGGGCTGGGAAGCGAAAGGAGAGCAGGGCTACAATGGTGATCTCCGCCACAAATCCATCGGGGCCAGTTTCATGCAGGTCAGGCAAAGAACAGCGATTTCACGGGACAGGTGCTAGCCCCCAAAAATGCATCCACGCAGCAGGATTTTTGCTGTCTGTGTTCCAGCCACCAATTGTCCCCGTGGAAAGCATCTACAGGGGAGCAAGAATGCAGAGGTCTTTCCAGGCATTGTCTGCATGCAAAGGGAGATCGCACATAAAAATCAGCCCAGCTCTTTGTATTTCTGGCTGCAGAGGGGCACCCAGAACAGGGCATTGTACAGCAGCAGTACATGAAGTTCATACCTCCGTATGTGGCAATTTATAACATGCATTCCCTCTGCAAGCCACATGGACAAAAGGTCAACAGTAGCTTGTTGATTCTAGCAATGACAGCTTTAAGCCTAAAATCCTTACTTGGACACAGCTCCCGTTGAAATGAATGGGGAGACTTTCCTGCAAAAGGAGTTTTTAGATGTAGCTATAAGCATCCAGATGTTCCAGCACTGAAATTCAGCCATTTCTGAGGTGACACGTGGCAGCTTTAGCTGTAAAGGGAGACTCCACAACAATAGCAGCATTTACCTTATGAATGTACTTGTTTCTGACCCTGGGGTTTGAATAAAAAAAGGGAGAGAAGCAGGCTGTTTCAAGGTGGGGAGCCTCATGGAGTTAGGTTTCCTTCACCAATGGCTTCAGCATCAGGCAAAAAGTAACAAAAAAGACTGTAAGGCCAAGTCCAGGTCTCGTGGAAATGAAAAGAAGGAGCCAGCAGCAGCCGAATGGAAAGCAAGAAGGCTAAATAAAAGGTGCATTAGGGCCAGATTTTAGCTACAGGGGAACCCAAGGCCAAGTCACAGCTTGTTCTATAACATTGCTATTCAGCCTGGTTATGAAGCATTGGGTAATAGGATATTTTCTACCATAGGCACTTTCTGTGAAGACAGACTCCTATGCCAGTCCTCTGCACTGCCAGCCCTCATGACTCCACCTTGAGTCACTCGCTATTTGATGCTTACTTAAAGCTCCTGTTCCTGGAATCCCCTTATTAAACCAGAGTCTCTGGTTTGTCAGTCTTTCTAGCTTGCATGGTTATAGAGACCAGTTTGAAAGTATGGTCTCAAAAAAAGCTTGAGAACCAAAAGGCAAAGGAAGAAATCCCAATATTTTCATTGCTGTTATTTACATTTTATTCTTTTTGGAGCCAATCTGAAAATTTCCAGAGCCTGGCTCATGGTTTTTAAAGTGATGCAGTTGGCAATGCTGATTTCCTGCTAAAGGCCATTCTCTTTCCATGAACAAAGCTCTGCTGGATTTCTTCTTACCCTAGCTGAACACAGATGACTCAGTGAGCTCCCCAACAAAGCTTAGTCACTTCTAGCTATAACGCCATGGATCTTATTCCTCACCTTCGCCTTGTCTCTGTCTCACCTCACTGCCTGAGGTGCTATATGACACTTTAGAAAGTGAAGATGCAATTTGAGAGCGCTCCAATCAGTCACCTTGCAATCCCAGCATAGCCATGGGAACACACCACCAGCTGTATAACCAGAGACAGAACAAAAAGTGCTAGAATAACCACCCAGAGCTAATGCTATCTCAAGCTCCAGGAGTTACCTGTCTAGTAGTTTCATATGGCAGCAACAATTAGCAATGCTTCAGGCTGTTTTTATATAGGGACAGGGAGAATCACAGACCACAGCTGTCCATAAAATGACCAGGTCAAGAACATTCTCAGCTCAGTAAGGCAGGCCCCCGCTTTGGTGGTCACTGGCATTGGAGCCGTAGCACCTGCCTATTGAATTCAGCTCCTACGGCCCAGCAATCCCAAGGCTTTTGAACATTATGAGGGCATGCTAGGAACCTACCATTCTAGATGGGTCTAATGCACAGCCTAATATGCACAGATGCCCACAGATGTCTACCTGGTATCCTGCCTGATGGTCCATGGGTACATTTCTTACCCACAGAATGAATCCTGGGTGCAAACCCACATCATTGCATCTGTGCTACCTGTTTCACCACTGCAGGCAGGCCAGTTAGAAGCTGTGCACCCAAAATGCATCATTGGATACAATTCTACCAGTACAAAGTGCACCCACCAGACTTCAGAACACATGTCTCATCTGTGTTGGTCCTTATGTGTATTTCTTCTCCTGTGTATGTGCTCCTTTGGCGCTTAAGCACTGCCGTGGTGCATTCCCTATCCAGAGGATAGATGCATTGCATAGCAAGCTGCTACTAGGAGATGGGTAGATACGTGAAGAGTTTAAAGAAAGGGGTGTTAGAGACCTCCTTCACTTGTGCATGGAGAATTTCTCCTTTGGCTTTGGTCTATTCAATGGATGGATGGATGGGGAGGTGGGAGGCTGAATATATCAATAGACATGGACTAGATAAGCTCGATACCAGCCCCCTGGGCTCAGGTGGAGTCTGCTAACCCATGCCAATCCCTTCCCTTCCCCATGCAGAAATCAACGGGACCCAGATCTGCCCCACTGCCATGGTTACCTTCCAAGACTATCCCTCCTCTGAGATGGAAAACGTGCCCCGGCTCCGCTACCTGCGCCTGGATGGCAACCGGCTGAAGCCGCCCATCCCCCTGGACCTGATGCTGTGCTTCCGGCTCCTGCAGGCCGTCGTGGTCTAATCCCTTGGCAGCACCACTCTCCCAGGACTTTGGCTTTGCACAGAGACTTGACTCCAGTCTACGTTAGACATTTGGAAACTATCTTGTCTCTCATTCCCTCCACCCCACTCACCCCTCAATGCCCTTCCTTCACTTCCTCCCACCTCCTTCTTCCTTCCTTGACTGCAGTGAGCCCCATGGTAAGTGTGGCCCAGGGCCACGATGTGGGAGTCGCAGGGGTCTCTTAGATGCACTTCCTATCAGATACCCACAGCACCCACTAGATGGCAATAGGCCACAATAAGCATCCAAGGCCTGAGCATGACATTTGCCCTGCCAGTCCTATTGAGTCAGAGAAGGATTCACCCTTCTTACACCCAGCAGGACGCTTCCTTTCCCTCCCAGGTTCGTATGGGGACAGCCAACTTCCAGCCTTAGGGACCATCTCCAGGTGGTCCCGATGGGACCATTGCCCTGAATCAAGGCCCACAGGTCTATGCAGGTCTAACAGCATCTTCCCCCAACTCCACGCCAGCTCATAGTTGTTCATGAGCTTGACTTTCATCCTCACTGAGAGCACCCAGCATGAAGGCTTGGCAAGCAAGATTACTCGGGAGCTGTATGACGGGTGGGTGAGGTAGAGGGCCCAGAACTGGACAGTGATTGTGAGGCAATTCTAGCAGCTTTATGAGACAAAGCCTCTGCTTTCCAAAGCAGCAACAACCAGCAGAGACCTCAAGTTGCCTTTTAAAGTGTGAACTACTGTCCAGTCCAACCAGGCACAGAGATCCACATCTGGTGCTTCTCTTCCAAGGGCACAGAGCACCCTTCAATCAGATCAGGTTCTGCATCAGGCCAAGTCCTCTCTTGTTCTGTCCTGGCATGGCGAGCACAATGCTTGGGCATGTCCAAGGGAAGCCCCATAGGTTGACTCAATCACTTGTGCCTATGGGTTGGGTTCATCCACCTCCTTCCTGCTAGAGAGCCAGGATGCAGTCTCAGTGAGGTTCTCCAAGGAGCTGAGGATTCTGGGTGCAGCTACTCTCTAAGGTAGGGCAGGTGCGCAGAGCCTAACACACCTTCCTGCACATACAGGAGGAAAAGCATCACCAACAAGCAGGTTCCTCTGCCGCCTGCCATCTTCTTACTGCATCTACTTGCAACACAGCTGGGGGGTACACAGTACATATCCAGATGTGCACAGTACACATCTGGAATACTGTGTTCAGTTCTGGGCCTCCCGCTACAGAAAAGATGTAGACGAATTGGAGAGAGTCCAGCAGAGGGCAACAAAAATGGTTCAGGGGCTGGGGAACATGACTTGTGAGGAAAGACTGAGGGAACTGGGCTTATTTAGTCTAGAGAAGTGAAGACTGAGAGGGGATTTAATAGCAGCCTTCAACTCCCTGCACGGCGGTTGCAAAGAGGATGGAGCTGGACTGTTCGCAATGGGGGCAGATGACAGAACAAGGAGCACTGGGCTCAAGTTGCAGCAAGGGAAGCTTAGGTTGGATATTAAGAAGAATTTTTTTACTAGGAGGATATTAAAATACTGGAACAGGTTACCCAGAGAGGTGGTGGAGGCTCCAACCTTTTCAAAACCCGACTAGACAAAGCTTTGGATGAGATGATCTAGTTGGGGGCTGGTCCTGCTGGGAGAAGGGGGTTGGACTAGATGTGACCTCCTGAGGTCCTTTCCAGCCCTAACTTTCTATGATGCTATGAACACCTAGCAGATAGGGTATCCAGCCATTCTTCACCCCCCTCCCCATGCCTGCATATCACCCAGGGGAGCACCAGGTGGTCAGAGTGGGTCATAGACATCCTGAGCAATACCTCTCTTGGGCAGACAAAGATGCTGGTCTGCCCTGGTGTCAGAATGGTAGGGGGATTCAGCACAGGTGGGTTTTGCTCTGCCTTGCTGCTAGCAGCTGTGCCTTCCTTCAGGTACTTGCTTGCTTTGATTCTGCAGTGCTTTTGTGACTGTGAGCACCAAGAAACCTTAAGCCCAGGTGCCCAGAGGAGTTTGAGAGCTTGCAGGAGAGTGAGGGCCTGAATGGAGCTAGACTAGACTGGCCCATGGGACAGGTGTATGTAACAGGGCTTCCAGGCATTGGCCCAAAATCGCTGCCAAGCTGAGGCTGGCCCAGAATCGCTGCACTACAGCGTCTCACCCCCCCACCAACAACAGCATCAGCTCCAGGGGCTGGGGCTGAGGGGTGGAGAGTGCAGAAGCTGGAATGCCTTGGATTTTGCATCAGTAGAGCTGTCAGGTGGAGGTGGGGAGAGGAACAGGCACAAGAAGCTGGTCCACATCTGGATCTTCAAACACCGCCTTTTTGCAAGCAGACAAATACTTCCTCCCTCCCATTCCTGAAGCACGACAGTGACACCCAGTGGTCAGAGGGGCTTGGTTTGGGAGGGCGGCCTAGGTTTCCCAGAGATCCATCTTGTTCCTATTTCAGTGTGGCCCCGCACCTTCATCCCATTTGTTCCCTGGGGATGGCTCTAGCTTGAGCCATTTTTCTCGCTCAGAGGCAGCGCCGTGGCAGGTTAGGATGAGGCCAGGTGCATTTGTGGGTATCTCAGTGGCCTTGTCAGAAAGGTCCACCTGAATTCAGTCCCGCGGAGGCTGAGAACGATTGGCAGGCTTGCTCCCGCCAGCTGCCCACTGCAGAGGGGAGCGGGGCACAAAGAAGAGGTCACGCCCTGGGACAGGCCGTATTCTCAGGGAAGATGTGCCTGCTCGCAAGGGCGAGGGAAAACTGCGCGGAGCACCTTGCCACCAGGAGACGACGTGCAGGGGTTGAGGAGAGTTCTGAAGCAGTCTCATCCATGGGAGAAGCTGTCCCAGGCTCTTCTGAGTTTCATGAAAAGCTCTTGGCCAACTCTATCAATTCCCTGCCCGTCTCCGGGTTGGCTCACGGGCCAGCTCCCCTGCAGTGCTCACTGCAGAAGCTGTGCTGGCTGGTACCAGTGAGAATCTGGTACCAGTTCTCTCTTCCCCTTTAAGTCCCAGCCAAGTTTCCTTCCCCTCCTTGCAACCAGTCCTTCGATGCTGGGGTGCTATCCTTGATGCATGGCAGTGCCTCCAAGGCTGGGCTGTCTGGGTGGGTGTCTATCAGAGGCCTGTGCTGGGCCCTGGGTACTACTAAGGCAGCCTAGTGCCAAGCCTCACCTGCCCTGCAGCTCGGTGGATGGAGGAAGCCTCTTGTTACTCTCTCCCATGCGAGTTTGCTGTGTTGCTCTGCGCTGAGCTTATGCTTTCAATGCTTCTCCCTCCCCCTCTCCTCCCCCAGTCCCCGCCTTGATCAGCACGCTGCTTGGGTGACACACGCTCGACTCATATATCATAGCCTGCTTACCCTCTCCCACAGCCCTGTTGCTTCAGGCATCTCAGCCTTGATCCATGTTTCCACCTTTTTGTGTGCTCACCTCCCTGACTCAGAGCCCTCTGGCTCTGCTGATTTGCTGTGCCTATGGGGCAAGCATCCTCCATGCATTCGCAGATCGGTCTTCCAGCACGTGTTGCCAAGCAGGCCCAGTGCTTTTGCTGTCTCCTGTGCCAGTCGCGTTGGGTGCAGTCCAGTTGCATGGGGATATGAGAAGTCTTCTTGCAGAAAGCTGCCCTGAAGCCTGGCCTGTGAATCTAGGGGAGATTGTAGCTGCATGGACTTCAGATGATCTGGCATATTGGTCTTTCCCACGTCTTCATCTTCCACCTTCGTAGCAGGTTGGCTGGACTTACAGGTGCTTTTCATCTAGGCCTATGAATGACACAGGGATTTGGGGGGGGGGGGAATACTAGGGTCACCCCCAAACTATAGGCCTGCTTTGATCAAAGGGAGTGGGCATTACAGATTCTGTGGGACAAGAAAAAAGGAAACAGGGATGAGAGTGAAGGTCACAGGTTGCTAACGAGGGTTATGAAGAGTGTCACCAAGCAGAGGCGCTGGCCAGTGCCACTACTTCTCGAACAAGTCCAAGGAACTAAGGGATGTTGCCTGGTGAAAATGTTGAGATGTTTGTGGGGACGTGGCAGGAGAATGGCCTCACAGACACCCAGGTTCTCCCAGCCAAAGCCTCCTTCCTGGTCTGGTAGATGGGAAGCTTGGTCCGAGCCAGGGGGAGGTTGATCAGGAGGTCCTGGGCGTTGGTGGGGCCACAGATGAGGAGTGAAATGGTGCTGGGAGAAGGGCAGCCAGAACCTCAGGAGGAGGTGCCTGAGGACACGATGGAGGGGCTGCAGCCTGGTGTGCTCCAGGTCAGTGTGCGCCAGGGTCTCCCCTGTTCACAGAAGGGGTAAAACCTGCCGGATACACCCCCATGAACACAGCTCCATGTCAGAACTGTTCACCTAGGTCCCCAGCAGCTCGTGAGATTGGGGTGGACTATAGGCTCATCTTGCAGAGACCCTCGCTCTCCCCGGAGGTGTCTCAACACTTGGTTTCTTGGGGGTGGGATGGTGGAGTCTGAGCGTGTAAGGCTGTCCAAAAGCAAACCAGATGGCTATCCCCCAGTCTGCTGAGGCAGTGTGGTGGGGGGTGCCGTGGGGTCTGTCAATGCAGGGGCTGCCTTTCATCCAGCAGCTAGAGGGAGCAGGGGGCTCATGTTCCCCGGGTCTCCTGAGACAGCAGCAGCATCACTGCCAGTGGGGCATGGCAATGCAGCCCCTTGCTATCAGTGTCTCTCCATCCCTGTGCATGGGCTTTCCCTCCAGCCTCAGCTTTGCAGACTGAGGTAGGACTCTTCCACTGGCACTCCCTCTCTGCCTCCTCCCTTCCCCCTTTCTCCATCCATCTGTTCTCCTCTGGTCTCTCTTTCTCAGCTAGTATGCCACTGTGGAGATGCACAGCACAATGCCTAGATAGAACTATGTAGCCAACAGATTATGTGCCACCCCCTTTTTCATCCGAAAGACCCATCCCCTAGAATCACAGGACCGTAGGAAAGCAGGGCTGGAAGGGACCTCACAAGGTTATCTGGCCCAGCCCCCTGCTCCAGGCAGGATCAATCACCCACTCCAACCCTTCTGTAAAGCTTGTTCTGAAGCCAGCGGATTCAGGTCAGGCTATAATCGACCAAATACCCCATATCTCATGGGCACATCCTCCAACGAAGGAGGAGCCATGCTGCCCCAGGCCCAGGGCTAGGAAAGCATGCTCAGTGTTACTAATAGGAATGCAAATGGGAAAGCTAGCCCTTATCTTTATGAATATGGGGCCAAATTCAGATCTGAATGACATAGGTGTAACCCCAGAGTAACACCCCTGCTCTCTGCTGAGTTCCCGTGGAGCTGGTTTCTTGACCCCACTCTCCTTCCCATCCCTTCTCCTACCCATGTTTCCTTCTCTGTGCTTTATAGAACTGAACACAGCTGCCTCTCTCTTCCTTTTTACGTAGCTTCTCCTGGTAGAGCATCTTTTTTTATTCTCCCCACAGATGTTACATGTAGTGCTCCCCCTTTTTTGATAAGTACCCACTGCATGCATAGGGTTTCTGGGTTTAGAGGTCGAGGGGTTGAAGCCCTAATTTCGGGTGCTCATGTGCGAGGGCAGTTGAGGTTCCTTTTTAAGGGTCAAGGGGGGAAAAATCAGGTTTAAATAAGTATTTAAAAAGCAAAACAAGCTGCCACAGCTGCAGTTACCCCCCTTGGCGCCAATAATGGAATGAAGCTTCTTAAAGGGAGACTTGGAATAGCACGCACGAGAGCTGCATGTTCGACTCCCATTGAAAATCGATGGGACTGATCAAGCAATGTCTTCACTGCCCTGTGGTTCCTTCAAAATCTCCAGCTCCAGCAAAGAGCCACCGACAAACATGAGAGGGAAGGTTGTAATCCACTCACGTCCTCAGCTAAGTATTACCAACACTGCGGAAATGGCAAGCTTCAGGTCGCTGATCGAACGCTGCCAACAGCATTTATTAGGCTTGACAGGTTTCAGCCATAAAGCCAGAAGCCCTATGTATATATTTATATATATGTGTGTGTATATATACCGGTAGACTGTACATATCTAGCTATATACATATTGTAGCTCTCAACTGATTTCAACTCAGTGGTATTTTCACTTCTCCTCTCCCACAGCAGTGAAAATAAAATGATTTTAAAAGAGACCTGGAGGTGTGGTCAGAGCTTGTTGTCCCGGCCCTTGCCAGCTGCTCACTAGTTAGTTATTTGTTCTGAGAAAGGTTTCTGTGGTCAGTGCTCATCACAGCGGTGTCACGACTGCCTTGTGGAAACTGCTCTCTTTTCTTCTCTGCCAGAAGAAGTGTGGAGAAATTTGACCTTAAATGAGGAGTTGGGGCTTTCCCAGGGTAGGGGAGTCCCCCAAAGGATCAGAGCTGGTTTAGCCATCTTTTCTGCTTTCATCAGCCCTCAGCAAACAAGGTCGTGAGTTATCAAGCAGGCCATGAACCCAGCACCAGAGCTGCTTCAGCCTTCAACTATTCACTTTGCTCAGCAAGGAAGCCTCTGTGCCAGGTACCCAGAGGAGTAGCTATTGGCTGGCAGCGGTAGTTGACTGTTATCCTCTCTACACCCTAAGTGCAAGAGGCAGATATGACCTGCACTTTAGAAGCATGTCACTTTTACCAATTAAGTGTGCAGTACAAAGGTGCTGAACATTGGGGTGAGCTGCCATCAATTTGCATACTCACAAGGAAGCAGAACAAGCTATAAGGGGGTAGTGAATGTGTGCAGGTGGTGCATAGTCACACGTGAATCTGTGCGTGTGCGCGTCCCTAAAGAGACGGAGGTTCTCTGTGCGTGTAGGTCCACGTGCTAGTGCACAAATGCCTCTGGAAGATGTACGGGATGGAGGGGCTATATCCGTACGTGCGAGAGCTGAGAAATAAGTGTGGCCCTCTGTGAAGGAGCGGCTGCGTCTGGCTTGATGCACGCGCCTGCCTGGGCTTGTGCACACGGACAGAATGGGTGTAGGCAGCAATGAATTCTCAAACTCATTGCTGCAGACGGAAATCTCATGCGGTGCTGCCGTCAAGGCATGAATCACAAATTGGTGGGCAGGGGCACGGGGGTGTGGGTGTGAACGCATGAGCCGAGGTGTAGGTTTCTGGTCACATATGCACGTTGGCAGGAGAGTGCGTGTGCGCGCACACAGCATGGGTGCAGGGAGCCACCTATTCTTTTGCCTGGTGCTATAGGATAAGTCTTAGTATTTTCCACCGTGCCTGGTGCATGAATCATAAATTCTCTCTGGGTATGCGTTAACTTGCTGCCTCTCCAGACGAGACAGCCCTGTCTCCTGCAGAATATTAACACAAGAAACACAGAGGTATTAATTTCTTCTCCCTGCAAACTGCAGCCTTTTGCAGCTCCAGAGGCAGAAAGTGGGGTGGTAGCTCCTGTGCTCCTCCACCTTTGATGTGGTTCTGTGTTAGTGGGGATCAAGGAGAATGCCAGAGATCTCCTAATTAGCTCTTGTGAGGGCTGAGGATGTGGGCATGACAGGGGCAGCAACATCAAAGAAATTCCTAGCGGGGAGGGGATGTTTGTGCATCAGTGCAGTGAGGCAAGGCAAGGCGGGGGCTGTCATCAGATGGGGAAATGGCTGACTGTATAGAGGGGAGGTTTAATCACTACCTGTATGAAAGCATCTTACAATCCACAGTCCTGGCCATACCTGTGGAAGCACCAATGTGGATCATTCCTGCCAGCCTGTCTTGCAGGGCTGAGGTCTTCCATGCATTTTCGCTCACCACTGAAATACAGGCACCTCTGGGGTGGCGGGTGGCTGTCACTGTGTAGGGACTTCAGGGCGAACCTCCTTTTTCAGACAATGGTGAGTGGTCTGGCAGAGTTCTTGCAGATCTGAATTCAGCTCCATCTCCCCCTGGGCCTCTACTACATCACAACATGCCCCTACTTCTGTGGCTTTCTGCCCATGCCAGCTCTTTGTCTTGCAGTGGTCCCAACTGGCAGGCACTAGGCATTCCACTTTTTTTTTTTTTTTTTTTGCAAAAAATTATATTTAACTTATTCCAACTTCTGATCAGGGCTACAGGGCAGGACACCCACCTCTGCCCCCATCATGCACTCCACAGAGCACTTCCCCAGTTCTCCCCATTCAGCCCTGGTGGGCAAGCCTCTGCCTCTGGCCTCCCTCCTGCCTGTGAGCAGAGTTTCTCTCCCCCATCTCCAGGAACCAACTCTGCCTCATCACCACCGAGGAAGTGGGCAAAGCTCTCCCGCTTGGCCCCTGGCCAGCAGTCAGGTCCTTCAAAGCAGCAGATGCACTGAGTCAGCTGGAACACTCCTCTCTGGGCTGCCACTTCGCCTCCATCACCACGGCCCGAGAGCCTTTTAATGAGAGGCTTAAAGAGGCTTAGTGCAGGTCCATGCTCCCTGCCGTGCCTTGCAGAGACAGGGCAGTGTGCCACGGCTGCCTTAGAGGGCAGATTTTTCCAGGATTTCCGCCCCCTTCTTCCCCCCTCACCTCTTCCCTTCCTGATGGAGCCGGGTGGAAGAATTCACTCAGCAGCAATACAATTCCTACATGTGCCTGGGATAGCGGGGACTGGAGCCTCTACTGCAGGCAGCCTCTTCCCACCTACGTTCCTGTTTTCTTCATCCCCCTCCACCCCTATCAGAGCTGTTTCTTCCTCATGCCGCTGCATCACACCAGCCTCTGCTCAGCTCAGGGGTGCAACTGAGGTGCTCCCTCCCACGGGGAGGGCAGGATTAGGCAGCGTGAAGTGGCAGGGTCACCCTCTGGCTACAGGTTCGGCATGCCAGCCCCTACTGCTCCAGGGAGCATGAAGCCAGTGCTGGGTGAAGGCTGCAGGGCACGGGCTCCCGGGGCTCTGCCAGGCCAGTGAGGGTGGCACTGAGGGATCGGCATGAATGGCAGGTGTGGAGGTGCTCCAGGTCATGGCACCGAGGACAGCCTTTGCACTTCATGCCTCCCCTCTCTGTGCAGCCCGTGGCACAGCCTGGCAGGGATGACAGCTGCAGCCAGCAAGAGCCTTTCACCCAGGGATGGTGTGAGTGGCATGAAAGCAAAATAAGAGTGGGACAAGGTGCGCTGGATGCCCAAGCCTTGACCTGGGGCAGGGAGCCTGGCCTGCCTTTCAGCGTGGTTCCCCTGCAGTTTCCTAGCCCCTCTCATGGCCCGTCATCAAGGAGATCAGTGCCACTCTCCTCATTTCAGAGAGGGGGAAGGCACCTGGGTGGCACCAGCTGGTGCCAGGGCAGTCAGATCCCAACTCCTGAGGGCACGTTCCTCTTCCCTGCCCGGCCTCTGCCGCAGGTTCGCTTCACATGAAATATTAGGGGAAATCTCAGACTTTTCCCCAGCACAGGGTGCATCCCTTGGGCGTCATCTGAAGGGAAGAGGGATCGGAGCTAACCTCTCACACATGGGGTCATGGCTTCTCTGGTTAAGGAGAAGCCAGGAAACCTCTGTCATCTGGTGCCGATGCGGAGGTTGCCAGCGCCCAACCGACAGCCGGTCCCTGCAATGTGCCCTTCACAGCCCTGGAACGGGCGAAGTCCTTTGAGGCTCCTATCCCATACAGAGGGGCACAGCTCTGATGCCAGCCCTGTTCTCCTGTTTTCTTTGCAGGGTGAGGGGGGAGGAAGGTTTGCAAAGCAGGTTTCCAAAGCAACGGCGCTGCAGAGGTGCAAGCAGCACTAAGCTCTCCCGGGAGGGGCACGGGGATGGGGGAGGTGGGGGCGGCCGCTTCCAGCTGGAGTTTTGGCTACAGAGAGGCAGTTTTGATGAGGAGTTGAATTTAAACAGCCATCTGGCTGCTGGGCTGTGGGCCCGTCCTGGCCGTGAGAGCGACCAGAACAAAGCCAGCGAGCTCCCAGCTGCGGCACCCCATCAAGCAAGGCCCAGCGCTGAACATCAGGTGGTGCCCACCCAGCTAAGATCACGGAGCTGGCACCAGCCTGGCGTGGCTTCATCCAGCTGGTCCCGGACCAGGCAGATCCTGCCTCCCGAGGGCAGGCTTCCCTGCTCCCTCCCAGGTTCAATCTGCGTCAGATCCTGGATGGGGACAGTTCAAAACGCCTCCCAGCAAGGGGGAACATCAGATGGGCATTTCCTCCTCTCTCGCTGACTGCTGCGAGGCAGCTCAGCACATCCCGGCCAAAGTTGTCTCCGTGAAGCATCTTGTTCGCCGCTTGTAGCTGCCTTCAGGTCAACCCAGTGGCTGGGAGCAAACAGGGAGGAGCCCCAGACCCTCTATGCATAGTCTGTGTGGCTTTTAGGGTCTGAGGACCTCAGTCAGACTGAGTGATGTAGCCTTTTGGAGAAAGAAATCCTACCCCAGAGCCAGGAGTTTCACAGGCCGTGCGCACCAGGCATGCACTTTTACTTGTGAGGCTCCACTGCTGCCCTCTTGCAGGAACATCAAATGCCAGGGGGCTTCCCCATGGGGAGGCTGAAGGGGCCTTGCGCACTACACCTGTGTCTTAGCTCCAGGGGAGCCCCGGGCAACATTTCTGCAAAGGGCCAAAAAGCTGAGCCTGCAAAACTGCCGCTGGCTTAGACGGCAGGTGTGTTTGGACCAATGGATTATGTGGGGCTCAGTACCGAGGACCTGGCGCTTGCCCCCTTGCCGTGATGCCCCCTTCGCCTCCCCTTGGAGGTGATGTGCAAGCTGCTGTAGAGTCCAGGCGAGGAAAGGAAAGCGGCTCTCAGCCAGGCCTCCCAGGGAAAAGCTGTAATCGGGCATGGCTGGCCTCTGCGGGGGCAAGAGAAGGGTCACCATGGGGGAGGGGAAGCGGGGCAGGTGGCCCCCGGGATAGTTATGTCCCTGATTGGCTGTGCTGGCTCTCGCCCCTCCGCCAGCCCTGCCCTCCCAGGCCCCTCATTAAAACCTCCAGAGCCCTTTCAGCTCCAGCACATCAGGAGAAGGGAGGTTCGGCCTCTCCTAGGCAGACAGGAAGGAGCAAGGGTATGTCTGCGACTTGTGCCTTTCTTTCTCTCTCCCTTGTTCATTAACAAGCTGAGCTCAGGGGCTTTCAAGTGCAGTTCAGATGAGCTGTGGGGGTGAGGGCTACCCAGGGACTGCGCTGATGCAGAATGCATGAGGTCTGCCTCTAGTGTGCATTTCAAAGGCTTTTTATTACTCTCTTAATGCTGGGTTTGATCAGTGGGAAAGCAGCAAAGATTAAGGACCGCCACTTCAAGCTATTGTTGAATTCAGTGCTGTCTTCTATAGACTGAAGAGCTGTGTGGGGCGGGGCGTGCATGCGTGCAAGGGACGCCGGGGCGAAGGTATGTATGCGTGTGCTGGAGAGCATGGGCTGGGAGTGCGTCCACGCGCTGGCGCATACGTGGGTGTGAGGTGTAGGAGTGTGTGTATGCGCATGTGTCTGGGGATGGATGCTTTCGTAGGGGTGTGTTTGCGTGTGTGTGCGTGCATGCCCGCTGCCTTGTGTACACACACAGATGGGCCGAGTGCTTTGAATCATCCTGTGGACGTTCTCCAGGCACGAGTCGCTTCTGAATGAAATGAATCCACTTGCAAAGGGATCCCGGTGAGGCTGGATGGCATCCTTGCCCTCAGAGCGGGCAGTGAGGAGACCCGTTGCCGTAGGCGTCTTGCTGTCTCTAGAGTCTCACCAACTGTTGTGATCTTTCCCCCAAAACGGCTCCTCCAGGAGGTAGGGGGTCACTTCCCTGACCGTCTCCCCACACGGGTTCCAATCCAGGGGTCCCACGGGTCACATGTGCAAATCGGGCAGCTGAGCAGGCTGATGGGCACTTGTGTGTGCAGCAATGGCAACTGTTCACCTAACTGAAAACATTGCTTCAACTATGTGCTTTCAGGGGAAGACAGACAGGCAGCATGGATTAACCCCTCGCTTCGTGCGTGGACACATCCTCTGCATACACACACATGCAAAAACATGCACATACCCCCCTGGTTGCCTGGACACAGATCTCCACTAAGGTGTAGCTCTACAGATGTATGCACACCGCAGGCTACACAATGTACCACAGTGCACACGTGCTCTTAAACCAGTAGGGAATAAGCCAGCCTCTCTAATGGACACTGCCATGAGGAGAAGACAGCTTGAGGTCTCAGGCTGCAGAAACCCCACAGCTGGTGACTGTGGCTGTCCCTCCTAGGCTAGCCAAGGAGTAGTTTCCAGCTGAGGAAAACTCTGGTCCTGCCACGGAGCCAGGGGCAGGGGCTCAGGAGGTGCCCAATATGACCCTCCCTAGGGATGGACTATGAGGAACTTGCACCAATCTGTGACACTGACCACTGGAGCGGAGGGTCCCTCTCTGGACAATCTGGCCACTTCTGGGAGGGACTGGCAGGGCAGGAGAAAGTAGGACAGGACTCCTGGGTTTCTTCCTAGCTGCAGGAGGCTATCGTGAGAGGCTCTGGGCACGGCCCTTCTCCTGTCTGGGCTTCCTTCTCTGTGTAGTGCCACCCGTGCAGCTCCAAGACTCGTGGCTAATGTACAGACTAGCACCTGCATGGTGTTATGACCATCACTGCTACCACTTGTGCTGGCATTGTGCCCTGTTCCCATTCTGCAGTGGGGGAGTTCAGGCCAGAGCAAAAAACTCTTCGTGTCCCCAGCTCTCCTTTCTGGCATATCTCTGTGGCCTGTGCCACCCGCTCAGCCTGCTGGCTGCATGCCCGAGTGCTCTGAGCCAGAGGGGAGGCTAGCACAGCATCTGGGGTCTCTGCCACCCAGCGGGGAACTCGAGCATGAAACAACCTGAAAAGAGAAGGACCGACCTAATCCCCTCAGGGCCAGAGGCCAAGCCCATTTATTCTCTGCGGCAGGAAAACCCTGGCTTCCTCCTACCGCTGCAGAGGCGGTCTGCTTCGAAGTGCTTCGAAGGACAAGGTCAGCAAGTCTCGGAAAGCAGCAGGAGCTGGAGGGAAGGTTTGGAGCGTGGGTGTAACCAGCTGCCAGCCAATGGAGGCAATGTGAAGAACAGAGACATCCAATAGTGCCACCTAAGCTGGTTTTCCAGACAGCTCAGCCCCCACAGCCAGGCCGAGGCTTGCAGGGCGTTGGGTACACAGCGGGCGCTGGGCAGCTTTGAACGCCTGGTCCATTGCCATGGCAATGAGAGCTGCTGGGCCTGGGGCTCTGTGTGGGAACAGAGCCCTCCTGGAAAATGCATGCACAGAGGACTGAACACTTGCAAACCTGCCCTGGGGAAGCAGGGCTGCTTGTCCTGCCTCGATTCTTGTGGGGAGAGGGGATTTCCTAGAGTCTCATTCACAAGATATCAGGGTGTATTTAGTTATCATTCTCCAAAGCAAGACCCAGGGCCATTCCCGACATGCACCTATAATGCTGCTGGCATATTCTCAGGCCCCACTTGCACTATGCTTTCTTCCCAATAGAGCACACCTCAAATGTGACCTGTTCCCCCTTCTGCTGCACTAGTCTCCTTGTCCCTAGACCCCATCCTCAGTAGCTGTGTCAGTCCCCCAAGTCCTGGCCTGCAAACCCACTCCCTGGGATCCCCACACTATCTACCCAGGGCACCATAATCCTGCAGCCTCAGAGGCCCATGTCACCTGGCTATAGCAGGAGTCTGCAGGAGGGAGGTCACTGTGCTATGCACTGAGGACATGTGGCCTGGAGCTCACAGCCCCAGCCCTGTAAATGGTGGAGCAGAGATCTGAGCTGGTCAGATTGACAGAGATGCAAATGCTTCATTGCTTCCCTTCCCCTTCCCAGGCACAGGATGCCGAGTGCGGTGTTGCTGGGGATGATCACCCTGGCGCTGGCAGCTCTGGCTTTGGCTGTTCCGCTTGGAGAAGGGAAGAAGACAGAGAAGCCCAGCACTGACCTCACCATCTATGAGAGCCTTAACTTGGACAACTACGATCTCAGCCTGAACAACTATGGGGACATCATTGACTTGAGCAACTATGATGAGCTGTACGACTATGGTGATTTGGCCCCAAAGGTACAGCAAAGTCAGCAGAGCACCAGAGCCCGGGGTGCAGGTGCATTTCAGTTGGGGGTGCCACCAAGCCTCTGTGGGGCCTGGTTCTGCTCTCACTGGCGGGGGGGTTTCATAGATTTCATAGACATTAGGGCTGGAAGGGACCTCGGAAGATCACTGAGTCCAGCTCCCCGCCCGAGGGGCAGGAAGTCAGCTGGAGTCATAGGATCCCAGCAAGATAAAAGTTTAGGGTTGGCCTAATCTGATCAGTGGGGCCAAGTGCTAGTCAAATCTGGGGCTTTGTGCACTATCTCCCAGGCTCCTGTTGCATATGGACTCAGCCTGGACTCAGGAAAACTCCTTTCCAAGACCTGGCTAGACATCCTGCTTTCCCAGCTATTAACAACCCAGAACCTTCTCCCAGCCCATATGCATTGCTTCTAAATTTGGCTCATGGCCTGCAAGGCAGCATGGGATCCTTAGAAAGGAAAGATGTCATATAGGTGTAACACATGATTGCTATTGCTGCTGCATCGAGGTTTGCTGTGTTACCACTGAGAGAACCCAGGAGCCCTCCAGGTCATTAAATCTGTCTATGGAGCATCTCTGGGGTCCTTAGAGGAACCTAAAGGGATTAGGTGCTTTCCAAGGGAAGGGGGTGCATATTTCCCTCAGGTTGATGAAATAATCCCAGCTCATCCTTGAAGTGGGTTCCCTGGTAGCCTCCCAAGCTATCCACGTACCCATCCCAGCATCTCCCTTTGTGGAGATGTGCTCCGGAGAGGAAAGGGAGAAGCTGCTGGGTGGGGAAAGCTATGGCAGTCTGCCATGTGAGCTCAGCACCACAATGACCCCTACCCTGTATTTGCAGATTGAGGTTGGAACGTTGGCTCCTCCAGCCAAGACCCCCGAAGGCATGCCAAGCACCAGAGCTGTGCCAACTGCTACACCAAGGAAAGAGCTCCCCATGTCCACCACAGCAAAGCCTGTCGGGCCAGGGCTGCTCGGGTTCATAACTGAACAGGGTGAGTGAGACGCCAGCCCACAGCATCTTGTTGCACAGGGCACAGGGTCAACACAGGGGTTTTGGATCCCAGATATGGTGCCGGATATGTCCCTGGTGCTGGTGGGGTGGAAGGAACATAAGAACAATCATTTACTGAGTCAGACCAAATTGCCCAATCTCCTGTGTTGCACAGGGGCAGAGAGCCGATGCTGAAAGAGAGTGACCTAAGGTTTTTTCCCACTGTTTTTCTCTCTCTTGCAGTCTCCAGCATTTAGGGTCTAGGAAGTTCTGATTCAGAGGCCATGCCCTCACTCCCATGCTCAATAGCTACAGACGTCCCTTTTCTCCAAGAATTTGTGCGGTCCCTTTTTGACTCTGGTAAAGCTGTCAGCTTCCACCACATCTAGTGGCAATGAGTTCCACCCTTGAATTACACACTGAAAAAGGCTCCTCTCAGTTGGGAATACCAAGGGTGAGAGATGTGCAGAGAAATCATCTTCCTGTGTACAACAGAAGAGAGATTCTGGTTTCTGTCATTGGCACTGCTCGCCCCGCTGGGGGAGAGGAAACTCTGGAGATCAGAGGGATGGAGATGCCCCTTTCGTAGTTCAGAGCAGGAAGTTCTGAGTTACCCCTGGGCGGCCTGGGATAGAGGGAATGTGGGATCTGAAAGAGGGGAGAGCAAGACTGTTCAATGCTCTCCTCCGCAGGAAACAGAGCGAGCTCCATATTAGCTCCATTCGGCAGGCTTCTCCCTCCTCAAGCAGCAGGTGGGAAGGCTTGAGAGAGGAAGCACCCGGAAACAACAAGAACTGCACCAAACGCCAGCAAAGCAGCAACGCGTTAATGAGCAGAGACACTGCACCAGTCGGACAGAGTAGCAATTAGATTAGTGACAATTAAAATCCTGTAGCGAGGGATAAATATCTTTATTCATTTTCTGTCGCTCGGAACCGGGACAAATTAAGTACTAGGCAAAGGGAAATTGTTGCCTTTCTGCTTTGAACTCCCCCCTGCTAATGGATGCTGAATCTTTCCCATGCTCTGGGGGGAGACAATGGAGGGGGGGACCCAACAGAGTTTTAATTGGCGCTAGAAATCTTGTCATCCTGCTGCTCCTGCCACCACACTCACCCGGTGCCTTCTAGTTCCAGATGGAGCGGTGTCAGATGTTTGCTTGATGCAAACTGTTTCCTTTTGTTTTATTTCTTCTAATGTCAAAGGGCTAAATAAATCCCTGGTGTAACATGCTGGTGTCTCCTTGGCAGATCTGCCACCCCCAAGGAGAGATTTGGCCTGAGTTGATTAATTTGTAAGCATCTTCTTGGGCTGGTTGTGTGTGGCCTCCCTCTTGATTAGATGTTGCTGGCTTGCTTCCTTTGAATTCAGGGCTGGAGAGAGATATAGGGCCAGCGGCCCTGGAGAATAAAGACTTCTGCGTATCGGCATAACAGGCAAAGCCAGCCCCGGTTCATTTGAAAGAGGCTTGTGCCTACCATATTCCCCAGGAGCTCATTAAATAAGAGCCCTGAGACTTGTGGAGTCTGAGCTCTAGAGAAACACTGCCCAGAGAACTGCAAAGACCTCTCCTACCCCACCCTGAGCCCAGTGTGAAGCCTGCCATGGGGTCCCTGGGGCTGGGTCTTCTTCCCATTCTCATTGGGAAGTTGGCAGGGATGTTTCCCAGGACCTCACAAGGTCAGGCAAGGAGGTTTTGGTCGCCCCAATGTGCTGGGGGTTGGCTCCAGGGCTGGGCTTCCAGGCCAGCTTGGTCTGAAAGGTTCATGATCAAGAGCGAGTCTTGGGAAGGTACCACGTTCTCTTGAGAACGTCCCCTTCTGCTCCTGACCCAGCACGTTGGATGCCAGACCATGGCCTCTTCTGGTGCTAAGCAGTTCAGCCCTGTTGCCTCCCGGGCAGCTAGGCCAGTAAAGAAACAGCCACATGGGCCTGGCTGAGGATGTACTTGATTCTTCTTTCCTGCTTTTGGCTTCTGACAGATCTCCCCCCTTTCCCTGCCCCAGGCCTGTCCACCTGCCTGGTGTGCGTGTGCATCGGCACCTCCGTGTACTGCGACGACGCTGGCCTGGAGCACATCCCTGCTCTGCCACTGGAGACCATGTACCTCTATGCCCGCTTCAACAGCATCGGCCAGATCAGAGCCAGGGATTTTGCTGGGCTGAGTATGTTCAGCCCACCATGGGGGACATGTGCTTGCCCTTCAGGCAGGCACAGGGCCTGGAGGGAGGGAGGGAGGATGTGGGCCAGTGGGAACTGGACTTTACTGCTCAGGTGTCTCTGGGGAGGCTGTCACCCTAGCTCCTGTTCCAGGTTTGTTCTGAGTCACTTCCAGCCTGACGCTGCACCCTCCCTGGTCAGGTTTGACTACCTCCATTAGTCTATTGGCCCTGCCATGGCAAGGAGCTCCGATTGTCTCACTGGCCATCGAATCCAATTGCTGGCGTGGGCAGAGGCTGCTTCCCCTGGCCCCGGTGGAAGCCAGGCTTCCTGAAACCAGAGCTGTCTTCAACCCTAAGCGCTGTGCGGACAAGCCCCAGCCACATCAGCCACACATCCTGCCTCCCTGTCCAGTCTGGTGTGAGACCCAGCACCCTGCTTGACTCATGTTTGAGCTCTGGAGGTACTTTCCAGCCCTGCTTTTCTCATAGTCTCTGATTCTCTGCTCTCACCCAGAATTTTAGAGGCTAGAGCCAAATGCAGCCCACTTCCACCAAGACAGACGGGACTGCTTGTCCCTGAAGGGTTGCAACAACTATGTCTCGGGTTAGTTTTCTTCCAGGTCCCCTCTAGCGATGGGATGGGTCAAGCTCTCTTGTGGCACTCTGCCCATTCACTCCCACTGAGGAGCTGGCTCCTGTTCCTGTTCCCTGAAATGCTATGGGCAGGCCTAGCCGCTAACTGTTGCTCATTATCCAAGATCCCGGAGCCTGGGGAGGGTTGAAGAGGTTTGCTGGGGTGGAGCTGTTTGGTTCTCACTGATCCCCACCTTTCTTTCCCCCTACTCCACTAGAGAAGCTGAAGAGAATAGACCTGACAAGTAACTACATCTCCTCGGTGGAGGAGGGCTCCTTCCGCCAGCTGACCAGCCTGCAGGAGCTCATCCTCCCTGAGAACAGGCTGACAGTGCTGCCTGACCTGCCCAGCAGTATCATCCGGCTGGACGCCCGGTTCAACAGGATCCAGAGCTCCGGGCTCAGGCCTGAAGCCTTCAGGGTGAGTTTGTGCCCAGTGGCTGCTGCAGGAGAGGTCCTGAAAGGCAGCCCTAGTTTTTGGGCCCCTGCTTTCAAACCCCAAATGAGCTGGTTTCTTGGTCAGTCCATGCCCTGTGTAGGCCTGTCTGGTTCTGGCTCCAGACCTGCTGCACAGAGGAAGAGGACAGGTGTTCTCCGTGGAGTCTGGCTGCAGCTAGGGCTGGGGCTGGGGCTGGAGCAGCCCAATCCCTGCTGTCCTAGCAGGCTGCATGCGTGTGTGCAGTGCAGACAGGAGAGCAGGAGGCTGCATTCAGCAAAGAGGCTGGTTGTGCCCCTCTTTTCATGGAGCCTTGCTGCAGTCATGCCATGCGCTGAATGGGGCAGGCAGAGACTGAAAGACTTGTACTTGTTCCTGCAGGAGCTGAAGAAGCTGCAGTTCCTCCACTTGTCTGATAATGAGCTGGACTATATCCCAGCACCCCTGCCTGAGAGCCTGCGATCCCTACACCTCCAGGTGAGGCAAAGACCAAGTCAGGCAAGAAGGCTTCTCCCAGTCTAGTTCCAGACAGTCACTTTTTGACCTTACATTTACTTCCCTATCCTTGAAGCCACAGCAGGTGTGGTGCACACAGGGGTTAGGAAGACCCTCTCCATGGTATCAGTCCAGTCCTGATGTCCTGTCAGTCCAGGCTTGATCCCCTGGCACAGATCTAGTTTCTATTGTGCCCTCTCCCACGGGTTATATCCTGAGCTCCCTGCACATACCTCCTTCTGCCAGGTTCTCTTGCCCTGACCTGTGCTCCACCCTTGCTAATCTAGTGAGACCTCAGTGCCAAAGGACCCACTGTCCTGCTGGCGTGGAAGCTCCATGGATAAAGGGTGCATCCACAAGCCCCCATGAGCTCAAAGCTAGTAGGAGCCCAAACCTAATCACCTCTTCCTGGCCTGGGGCAATTAATGCATGAATGTCCTCCCCTCCCAACCACCCCACTCAGATGTGCTCTGTCTTTCTGGCTAGAATAACAACATCCAGACCATGCACCAGGACACGTTCTGTGACAGCCAGGACCTCACCCACATCCGCCGGGCGCTGGAGGACATCCGCTTGGACGGCAACCCCATCAACCTGAGCCTCTTTCCCAGTGCCTACTTCTGCCTGCCTCGCCTCCCCACGGGCCGCTTCTACTGAGCCCATTTAGCACTTCCCTTCAGCTTGAGGAACCTCTGAGCAGGCTGGCCTGGCCCCTTCGGATAACAGCTCCACCCCACAGGCACCACTGCCAGGCTGTCCTGTTAGCTCACTTACCATTTCCCTTCTCTTCCATTCCCCTTAATCCCCTGGTGTGGGCTGGCACTCAGGTGGGACATTAGCATGTGGCACCCCACTTCCCGCTGCCACATCCACCCGTGCCCATGCACCTCAGTCACCATCAGCATCCTCCCCCACCCAACTCTGCTAATCCAGTCCTGGATCAAATGGATGTCAGTCTCTCCATGTGATCCTAGCAATGACTTGAAGCCTCCAGTGTTGCCAGAGTCTTCTCAAAGCCATGTTCAGCTGAGCCACGCACATGGAGGAGGATTTCAGCTAGAGAGGGGAGGAAGGAGCAAAGCTCGGGTCTGGTTCTGGGTTAGGCCTTCCTTTAATTCCAGTGTATTTAAATATGTGGTGTCATCACTAACCTTTGAAAGCTGAAGAGAGCTGGCCAGTTGTGCAGTATTTTAAATATAGCTTCTTCATCATCCGTATCTTTATACACATGCCATAAACATGCCTGCCATGAGGGATGAGACACTCATGGGGAATCCAAAACACTGAACTGAAATCCCCCAGCTCAGCCCACATCCTCCTGGTCCGAAGAGGCAAGAGAATGAGTCATAATCTCCCAGGAAGGTCTTGCTTTTCCCATAGGGCTTCACTGCAGAAATACATTAGCCCCCATTACTGCAACCTTCCCTGTTGGCGTGTCTAGAGCAGGCAATGTGCTGTTTCCTGAGGCACAGACAGAAGTATCTGAGTTTGATGCATGGGTCTGCAGCGGCTTCTTAGATTGCCTCTTATCAGATGCACACTTATCTGATGCCTGTGCAGTGATCCTAATTTGTGCCTAGAAGTGACAGGTACATAACACTGGAGCTGAATGGCAGTGTAAATCCCCCTCAGTTCTTATGATGCTGGACCCAAACTAAGGCTCTTTTGCTTTAACACGACAGGGATTTAGGTGGCTGGATAGAAGGGGAATTTGAAGAAGTAATTTGGAGGGACAGTTGTTGTCTCTCTTATTCTCTAAGATGCTAGGGCTTGCTAGTGCTCCTCTTGCAATCCTTTGAAAACCTGCTTCATAGTCTTCTACCTCCCTCCTTACCTGTCGTCTTTGAGATCCATTGCCATCATCAAACCAGTGCCGTCTTTCAGGGTCTTGCGTCTGCTTTTATCGGGGTGAAAACAGTTGCCAGTTCAGCTCGGATTCAGCAAGATGGAATCCTCCGACTTCGCCTCGCTGCCTTCCTCCGCCCTTCGCTTTCATCCCACTAGAGGGCAAAATCGAACAAACCTTCCCAACCCAACCCAACCCGGCTTAATCTCTGCTGCTTATCTCCCGTCTGCTGTTGTTTTATCACTTAAAAGGATTGTCTAAATAAATGAGATTCGTGAGCAGCTGTCCGTGTGCCTGGCCCTCGGTTAATAGCACTGAGCACAAGTCCCTGTGTGCCGGTTGCTGGGAAACTCTGCCACTCAGATGGAGCGTGTGGCCAGGGATGTTGGGAACGGGGACTGCGGGGGGAGAAGAGGTTGGAGGGGGGCAAACAGCTGTTTGGAGCAGCTCTGATTGTGGTAAACTTTTCCAAGCAGCTGCCAGCCTGCCCCTGCTGAGCAGGGCCCAGGGCTGGGCTCAGGGTACAGGAGACTGGCATCAGGCTCCTTGCTGCAGGCAGCTAGCTTTCGTCTGCACCAAAGGAGCGGGGCCTTGTCCTCTGAACACATGAGCAGGAGGGAGCAGATCTCTGTTTCCCTCTTGGTGCAGCCTCTAGGGACCAAAGTGGTCTATCAGGTGGGTGCTTGGGCCCTGGGCCGGTGACCTTTCTTCATGAGTGGGTGGTTTCCTGCTCAGGATCCAGCCCAGCTCCCCCAAGAGCGGCTCAGCCCCTGGGGGCTACACTCTCATCCCGTCCATTGAGCTACCAGTGGGAAAGTGGGGCAGGGAGCCGTGCCTCTGCCCTGCTTCAGCATGGGTTGGATGCTCTCCAGCCTCAGCAGCGTCTTCGCCCTCGTGCCTGCCTGAGCCGTGGCCCGTGGGTAGGGTGTGTTTGCAGACAGCAGAGGGCAATAAGGCATAGGCTTGTGGAGGGGAGCGGGGAGATGGCCCTAAGGGTCTGCAGGCTGCTTGCATTTTCTCATGGCAAGAGGGCTGTACTTGGACTCTTCTCTTCTGACTCAGGGGCACCGTGATCCCTGGGGACTCTGCCCCCCACAGTGCTGTCTGGGGGAAGGATTTTGCCTGTCTCACCTGAGCTTTCGTGCAGTAAGACCTCTCCTTTGAATGGTCCTTGAGGCACAGACCATCTCACTGCAGCTGCAACAAGCAGGAGCGGAGATGAGCGTGGAGGGGGCCTGAGCCACTCCTGGGTTGCCCAGCTGGGGGGCAGAGGCTCTGTGCCCCTCCTGTCCCTCTGGTTAGAGAGACTCCCACCCATCTGAGGGGGAAGGTCTGGCCGTATCCCTGAGTCCTTCCAAGGGAGTCAGATTCCCCTATTCCTTTCAGGAAACCCCCAGGCACCTTGGGGGTGAAACCTTTTGATGGGGCCTGAGACATGCCAGCCCCCATGTGGATTCAGGCTGGCTGCTGTCCCAGCTCAGCATCTCCTTCAGGATGAGACCTGGCATCTCACGGGTTCTTGCTCACCTCCTGCCCACTCAGTATATGGTTCAAGCAAACCTTGGGCTTCCCCTAGACTCCCAGCTCCTGCTGCTTACCCAGAGACCCCTGGGTCCCTGGTCTTATGTTGGCTTTGAGCCAGGCTGGTGGTAGAGCATGGGCATGACCACTGAAACCACATGGACACAATACACGGGGTGTGTCTACATGAGACACTTACTGTGCATTAGTCTAATAACACTGTGCAGCAGTATGGCGGTTAAAAACTGTGCTAATAGCTTACTGAGCAGTGTTATTAGGCTAATGTGCAGTAAGCATCACAAAAAACCCCCTGTGTGCCGGCACTACTGCTCAGTAACTCTAGTTACTGCACATTTAGTTAGTACTTTATTAAGCAAGTACTCAACTAAATGCACAGTATTTAAGGCGCGTTAATGAATGTGTAGATGCACCCATTGACTATGCCAGCCAGTAGCACACTCAAATGGGCTGCACCAGCCGCCTCCTGAACCAGACACAGGGTGGCCCAGATAGCTTGGGGGAAGCCGGTGGGCACTGCCATGCTAATTAGCCCACCCCTAATGCTGATGAAGGAGTTAACCTGCATGGAATTGGAGGGCATGTTTGAGACCCTCTGGTCCAATGCGTTTACCAGGGAGACAGGCCTTCAGATGCACAGAGCCCTGCTCGAAAGGAGGCAAGCGGAGGGCTTGACTTGAAGAGAGAGATCAAAATTGCTGAATGCACTTACCTGGGCCACGTGCAAGG